CTGAGAATTTTGCATTTTGATATTGTGAACAACTATTTCTGAATGACTGAAATACTAAATGGTCATGTAACTGTAGTATCTTTGTGTTCTAGCTTTTATTTAATTCCTACTGCTACTCTTATTTTGTTCATATATCTCTTAGTGATTTCAAATCTACAATTTGATATAGAAGTATATAATTATTAGAGCAAAAAAATGCCTTTTTCCTTGCTAAGTGTGAAGATACACACCTATGATCATAACACTCAGTGCAGAGGCAAGAGATCCCAAGTTCAAGACCAATCTAGCATACATCAAGATTCCATCATAAAAAGTAAAAATTTTAAAAAGCCCTTTACCAAGGAAAAAAAAGGTTATCTTTTCCTAACATGTATTACTCTTAGTGAAAATTTAGGTAATGAATTATCATCTTTAAGTACCTTAGTACCAAACATTATCAGTGTTACTAAGATACTGAATCCACACTGGAGCATAATCTCCATGACTCTCCATTGTTGCATGCATTCATTATTTCCCTGGCGATATTGTTCTAAAGTAATAGAACTACCTATTGCCTTGATAAACAGCTTCTTTCCAAATAGGAAAAAGGAAGTGAAACTTGACACATACAAATATATTGTCTGCTATGTAATTGCTAAGACTGACTCCAAGTATAAATACTACTAAAGCTGTTAAAAAGATTCTACATCTGCCCTACATCTGTTCTCCAATTTTGAGGTAACAGGTATTTGTTTATCTGTCTTACATTAATCATTATCAAATTATCAATAGTCTCTGGTATAAATAGTAACACAATTAGGGAACATTAGAAAAAAAATTAAATACCAAACTTAGGTCACCAAAACTATATAATTTTCCTTTCCTACAAATCTACACCAGATAATGACAAGTAATTTATTTATTCTGAGGTACATAATCTTCAACATAAAATGTTTCAATGTAGGGCTGGAGAGGACTCAGTGGGTAAAGATGGTCCTGCCAAGCCTGGCAGGATCCCCAAGACTCACGTGGTAGAGGAAGAGAACTGACTTTTGAAAATTGTCCTCTGACCTCTACATCTGCTCCATTACAACACACACACACACACACACACACAGAGAGAGAGAGAGAGAGAGAGAGAGAGAGAGAGAGAGAGAGAGAGAGAGAGAGAGAAAATAAAATTTAAAGATGTACAATCTAGTTTCATGTACATAGTATATATACATTTTTATTTTCCTGATGAATAAGCAGTATTAACTAAAATAACAATATTACTTTATCACAAGTAATGATTTAAGCAAAAAAGAAATACCATTGTTAAGGCATTTCCCTTTCTTATAAAATTCCAAGAAAGTTAATTCAAATGATAAGCTTCACAGACTGTACTGTATTTGCTAAATTCATAACTGAAACAAAGATCAGAAAAGCATCCAGGGAATGGAGAGTTTCAGAGAACAAATATTGTCTTTCAACAGACAACAACAATGTCATAAAGAAGTCAATTAAAAATTTTAGAATTGACAATATAGTATTATTCAGACACACTGTAAAATGTTTATAGGGGTAGACCACATTTCACATTTCCCACTACCTTTGTAAAGCAGATTTAGATAAAATACTTAAAATTACTATTGTGAAATGCTAAGAGACTTTTTTCTACTCCAGCCTTGAAATTGAGGTCCTTCTTTTGCCTCAGTCTGACCAGTGCTGAAGTTATGGACATACACGACACCATGTCCGGCACCAAGGCATTTTCGAAAACATTCCTTCTACCTTCAAGAAAGCCACAAATTGCCCATCGAATGCCTTTAATCCTGTGCTCCACAGGTAGAAGCAAGCAGGTCTCTGAGTTTGAGGCCACCCTGTTCTACAGAGTGAGTTAGTTCCAGGATGGCCAGGGCTACACAGACAAACTCTGTACCAAATCGAGGCCCCCATGAAAAAAAAAAAAAAAAAAAAAAAGAAAACCACAAACTAGCTGGATGTGACAGCACACCTGTAGTGCAGCACTTGTGATAAGAAATAAGGCAGGTTAAAGTGTTTAAGACTAGTTGGGCTACATAGTGCTGTCTAAAGAAAAAGCAAAAAAAAAAAAAAAAAAAAAAAAAAGAGCCAGAAATTATAACTTGCAAGAATCACAGTTTCAAATTTTGCCTTTTTTAAATTCTAGAATTCAGGAAGAACAGTAAAATTTTTCTAAAATCCATGAACTTGAACAACATAGATTCACTTTTGGAGGATTGTTTTTTCTGATGTTCAAGATTACAAGAAATGTCAACCCATAGAATTAAGCTGTAATAAAACGAACTATTCACAGATTGGCAGCTAGTGCTATTTCTACTGATTTTTCTCTTATGTTTTTAGGTTCTGTCATAGTAAGTAACACTGTATTTATATCAGCAACTCTTCATGAAAAATCCCTAGTTATTTCCGATTTCAAATATCCATTTTCTCATCAAACCTTATTGTCCTACTACCACTTCATCTAAATCTGCAGCTTTTTTTCATTCTTCAGCTACACCCTTGTGGCTGGCATTAGACTTTTCCTCCCAGACTACTGTACTCTTCACTCTCATGAAATAGCTCCTCTAAATTGTCATTAACTCCATTGCCAACCTTACCCTCTTTCCTTGACAAAATGCCACCTACCTTTTCCACCTGGGCTTTGCAAAGGCCTTTATGCTGCATTTTTATTCTGCTCGAGAGCCTCGTCTCCAATCACATATTTATTTATAAGGTTGCTGCCACTGACTTTCAACTCCCCTTTAAAATACCAGTTTCTTCTTGACCCTATTAAATGTACTAAATTTTTCCTTCAGGTAATCACATTTTCTGCTAATCCATTTAAACACAGAATCCCTTTAGCTTCTAAGACCCAAATTCATGGGTGATAGATACATCTAGACAACTTTTATACATCCTTTCAACTGTTTAACTTATCAATGTTACTACTATCAGAGCATAGACAAGGGTTGTATGTTTCAAAGCACTCTGTGCAACACTTATGCACCATCGCTTGACCAAATTAAGATAATTAGATAATTAGATAAAACAAATCCTACAGCTTAACTTTTTAACTTCTAGGGCCGTTCAATTTCCACAGACAGCTGACATATTTTGGTTTCTATAAAATTTCACATTCACTCGACTTAAGCATGGCAAACATTAAAAGCTGATGGACGATAACGGGTATGCATTTCCCCATCACAGTGTCAGATTCTTTTAAAAATCAGCAAGATCAACTCTAAGAAGTGTGAGCTACAACTGATTTTTCATACAAGGAAACAGTGGCAGCAGGAAGAGATCCACACTGTCTGCATATTCAGATGGGGGGAGCATGTCCTTCCCTACAACTGAGTTGGATTAGTTTCTTTACTCCAGAGGCTTTGACTCGGGAAGATTCAATAAACTGCTCTCAACAAAGATATCATGGGAAGGATACCCCGGCTACTAAAAGGGAGAAACCAGAGCAGTGGGTATCCTCTTTTCACAAAAGTCAGCAGCTAAATTAAGCACTGTAGTCGCTATCTGCCAGCAGAATCAAAGCTTTGTTTCTACCCAATAATAAAATCAAGTTTCATTCCATTTAGTTCCTTCCCGAGCATCATCTCAACCTGTCAGAATTCGACGAGGAGAAAAAAATTTAAATGAAGTAGGGAAGACACTAGGATTCCCATCTACATTTCTTTTTCCGAAATCACATCACTAAGTCTTGGATTTCCTTTACTCCAAACTAAGCCTCAGACTCCAAATATAATTCTTTAACCCCCGCTTCTCCATTCAATCACACTTAAAACCATGCCAACTACAGAACCACGGCTGAAACCCCTACAAATAGGCTTGCCATTCATCTTGGAAGTCATGCCCTGCAGCAACTGCCTATCTCCAAACTCAGGGATATCACCCAAATACAACGCAATGGAATCAGACATGCAAAGCACACACGACTTCTGCGAGGGAGGGAAACGGGAAAAGTGCACTCTTCTCCAGCCTCAGGACCATCCACCAGGGCATGGGGATGGGGTGTGGGGGTAAGGGTCCCAAAAGGGAGGTGGAAGAGGAACTCGAGTACTGGGGGAATCCTTCCTTCTCAAGGGAAAAAAAAAAAAAAAAAAGAGGCTGGATTTCCCGGTCAGGGGAAGCAGTCAGTCCTAGCTAAGAAGAGGCAGACAGAAAGGGAGGGCCCTCTGCTAGGAAAAGCAGAAGGAAGGCACTTTCCAGGGTCCCGGACTAGAGCCTATCACCTGGCTCCCGGGGGAGATGAGGAGTGTCCCATGGGCTGCTGAGGGGCCACCCTGGCCTGCTAAGGGACAGTAGAGGCGGAGCAGAGTTTCCCCTGACGAACCCCGAGTCG